GAAGGAAACGCAAACTACGTTTATAAGGATTAAACCGATTAGAGCAAAATCCTAAAATAAATAAAAAAAAATTTCCTGGTTGATTCTTTCAAAAATATTTAGCTATATTTGTATTTCTGAGACTGACATTAAATTTTTAAGCAGTTTTTCATCCAAATTGTTGCTTTTTACATTGTAGCTTAAATGAGAAGTATTGTTTGTTTAACACTTTTTTGCCTGTCATGACCAAGACAACAAAAGACCTGATTCAAACTCATCTGGTAGATAGGTGTGGCTGTTAACCACTATACCAGAATAAGCAAAAAGATTTTACTATTACTTTCAGGATATTGGTTTAGATGAATAGTTTTGTTTAACTTGTTATTCCACTATAGTTTTGGCTTACAGAGCTAAATGTAAAGAATGTAGTTACATTTTTTTTCCAGCAAAATGTAGTTATATAGGAAATCTGAACAAAAGTTTGTCATCGAACAAGGAAATTTCTGATGCCAAAATCATTGGGTTTCCAACTTTGACAAATTGGCTATTATAGAATAGCCAATTTGTCAAAGAAATTCTTATACTCACAATTTCTACTTGCTTAATTTTTTTTTATTAAATATAAGCAAACAATGAAGTAGGAAAGACAGTGCAGTGTGTCTAAGAGGAGTTTTGACAATTGAATCTGTGAAAGAAGTTGATATTTTTTTCCTATTCTCGCAATGGGCTGATGTATTAGAAAGTTCGCATGGCAGTTAAAAACATGAACACTTTATTGATTTGATTTTTGTCTTTTTCGAAACAAAGCAGAGAACCTTATACAAATTAATTGTAATCATTTCTGAAACCACAATGGACTGAATCCACAGGAACTTTTGCTATATCTTTTAGTTATATGTAATAAAACATAACTCTTAATAAACACTAATTACACACAAATTATTTCACTACAGAACCATACCTCATCTTCTAAACAATTATTTTGACATATAAAAAGAAAATTTATGTCACTAGTCTTTATGAATAAAAATATGCTCTGAAAAGTTAAATCTCGTTTTGAGGGAGCATGCACATCTCCTCTTATATGCGTCATGTCCTGTGCCTGCAACTGTCTATTCTTGGCATTACCTTCTGGTTTCTGTCCTGAACTTGTGAACTTTCTTTAAACTTTGCACGCACTCTCATCTCTTGAGCCATTGCTTTTCCGCTATTCTAGAAAACCGAATTCGCGGGAACCATTAATCAAGAAAGAACTATTAGTGAGAAATTCCATAGATACAGCACAAGAGATAAGAGCTAATGCAAATTTTAACGGAAATTCACTAATATAGCGCAGAGACAAATGTCAAGAAAACACAGAGGCAGAAACAGAATATGATGTATATGAGAGGGGGATGTACATGCTCCTTCAGAACAAGAGTTCACATTCATGACCCAACAGATCCTCGAGAAAGGAAGGATGATAATATATGAACAAAGACTTAACACACACACACACACACACACACACACACACACACACACACACACACACACACACACACACACACACACGCACGCGCGCGCGCGCTCGCTCGCTCTCACACAAAATAAAACAAAACAGGTAGACACTATATTATATTCGAACTATTGCAATGATTAAAACACTTCAAAACAAACAAAATGCAGGCAAAAGTGAAACTTTTTAAGTTGTCGTGATTACGTGATTTCTTGCGCATTGCAAACAGCTAAAAAGAGAAAAGTAAAAAAAAAATGGTTTACATGGAATTTGGAAGAAGACTAATTAGGAGGCAGAAAGATCCAAGATTCAACGACTGCTACTAGAGAATTGCCATTACTCATTATTCAAAAATGGAGAGTGAAAACTGCTTTCCAGTTACAAAAGTAATTCGTATTCTCAAACAATCATGAATTTGTATAAACAGTTAAAACTGTCTGGATGAATTTTTAAACCGATTCAATCCGTCTTATCAAATCATGAAATGAAAGTTGTCTTGAATAGTTATTCTTCTAGATCTTTTTGCATTAATGCATGTGCCTCCTTGGACATATATTGTTCCTAATTTTCATCAATGACCTTCCTAAAGTCATAGTTCTCAACTTGGTATCTATAGTATCTTATTGAACAGGAGTAGATGTTTAACTTGTTTCCTGTTTAGGATTTGGTTTATCGGTTTCTTTCTTCCATGCTTTAACTATCTTAACTTTTTTTAGTAATCTGACTGATCAGATCAATTCTACTCTTGACTCATCTGGAGTATGTTTGCTTTACTTTCCATTTAGAAATCTCTACTGTGTGATATACATACGGACTTATATGTCCAATGGTTTCTGTTATCTAAACTGGATCTCCACAAAGCATGTTGACGATTTCATCAGTGCAATAGTCCTTAAGAAAGGTGCTCCTGAAATTATTCCTATTCTCTCTAAACAGCACGATAAATGCCTTACTGATTCTTGCATTCGTGCTTGTTGGAAACCCTCTTTTGTAGTTCCAGTCTTTAAGAAGGCTAATAAGCTGATAGAAGGATCAAACGGTTCGCCTAAGAACTCAAGCGATCTGTTTGATCCTTTTATCAGTTTATTAGCCTTCTACCTTTTTTTGGCAAAGAATTAGAGGCTTTTATCAACTCCGTTCGTTCATTTATTGAATATTGTGGTCACATCTGGTCTAGTGCTTCTGCTAAGAATCTGCAGTGTTATCGCTCCTGACTTGGCATCTCGATTTCAGCCAATTTCTCGCCGCCATAACGTAACTCCCTTGTGTCTTTCTATAAATATTTTCATGGTAATTATTCTGATTGATTAGTTTTCCTCTTTCGTACCTCGATTTTATAAATTTAAGAGCAGTACTAGATTGGTAGATAGGTCTTATCATTTTGGCGTTGAAATTGCTAGATGTAGCCGTAAGTTCTATGGTAACAGTTTCTTCTCACACTTCTCACTCATGGAACTACCTTCCGGTCTGTTATTTCCTAGTCAATTTTGATCTTCAAAAATTTAAATCGTTATATCCTGTCTATTTATCTTATTAATTTCGGTTCTTTATTTTTTCTCCTTAATAAAGCTTTTCTTTTTTTCATATTCTTTCACACTCAGTAACCCTTTGAGTCTAAGAGGCTTTATTGCTTTACTTGGGGGTTAAATGATTAAAAAATTCTTTAGTTCGAAATAACATGTACTCTTCATCGAAACTGAGATTTTAAGGTTTAATGTTTGGTGTTTGGTGTTGCCCCCCCCAAAAAAAAACATACACAAGCAAACAAATCACAAAAAAGGAGCAGATTACTAGTATCGGAGAATTTTTTCGTTTGACTTTGTAACCAACTTACCAGGTTTAAAATACAATTAAATAGAATGGAATAGATTGACTTTCAAACAGACGTCACATTTTAGGTAAAGTCAGTACTTTCCAGTATTCATTTCATAGATAAAGATAGAACTATTTCATTTACACAGGCTATTTCTCTTTGTAAAGTTCTATTCTGATGAAAATCTTTGTAAATATATTAGCATGCAAGTTCATTTACAGAGATCCAAACAGAACCTACTTACGACAACCACCTCACTCAGCTAAAGAGACTAAACGACAACCACCTCACTCAGCTAAAGAGAAAAGTAGAACAAAACCCATTTTACCTTTTTTATTCTTACTTAAGGGAAATTGTTTACCCGGTATCGTATTTTAATTTCACATTCTTAAACTTTGTGTTTTGAAGCATTCATAAAATAAAGAATAACAATTGTTATGCAAATTCTGTTTAAACGATTGTCCTCTTACGATTAATCTTGATTGTTTTGGTTTCTACACAAGTATTAAACTCTTTAAGATTTTTGTTGTTTTAACCTGTTATTTAATAAATGAAAATGCGTTTATTAAATAGCATGAGGTGAAGTTGGAGAAAAAATTAACACAGGTATTTGAAATTAAAATATAAAAACTGCTATAACATCGACATGGAATCAAAATACGTTGTTTCTTGTTTGGTCATCAAAATGAACTAATCTACTTATATTTTTAATGGCGAGAAGACATAAAACATAACTAAAATGATTCGATAGACAAAAGATTCATTGAAAAAACAAGCTATCCAGTAAACATGTGGAGTCAATTTAAGTCAGGCATAAAGTAATAATGAATTACAAATCAAAACAAAATACAAACCAGTAAGATTTAGAATTTATAAAACAAAATGAATTAAAAAGGTATTTTATTATAAAAAAAAAACAGGAAAAAGTATAATCATCATCATCATCATTTGGAACAGCTACAAGGCTAAATCATTGGGTTAATCAGTACATTATTTATTTTTACAAACCCAAATTATTTTCTGACGGTATTTGATTTCAGATAGGTGATATTTGCGATATGAGAAAAGTGGGCTTTTACTCTCACATTTAGAACAAGCTTAATTTAAGAACATGCATAGTGGGTGCTTATTGCATTGAATACATTGAAGTCACTATTGTAAGTGAAGGAAAACATCGGATTTCGCAAAACCTTTTATTAATATATATATATATATATATATATATATATATATATATATATATATATAAGATATATTATTACACAAAGCCCTCCTCCCATCATTTTAAATCTAACGATAATATAACTATAACAAAAAACCTTAACAAATAGTTAAATAAGTTTCTAATATCTAATCTTTAAATCGCAAAAAACCTTCACAAGATTAACAGTATATTTAGAAAATCTTTTCACATGTCCTTATTGAAAATAGAAATAATTCTCTACATATATAACTAAATTTAAAATTCACATTAATATTTAACTCACAATAAACTCAAATAAGCTTACATCATAAAGTAACATCTTTAAGCAAAAGAATATATAGATATGAACAAACTGATAGTTAGTTAGTTAGATAGATAGATAGATAGATAGATAGATAGATAGATAGATAGATAGATATGAACAGACTGGAATGGATAGTAGCTGCATAAAAATTACTCTCTATCGACTTAAATAAAGTAAAGGTACTTCTCGTTAAGTATCTTACCTTAACCGTTCGCTCAGATGTGGAGTCCATATCTGAGAATTTTGTTCCACGGTCACCACGGCCTGCCTTCTTTGGCTCACCTGCGATCCAGAGGAATCGTCAACAACGCCGTTGTTCGGTAAAGGAGATATTTTGTTGTTTGAAAACATTGCGATGTTGCACTCAAATAAAAATAAAGCAGAAGTTATAAAAATATATTGAAACCCAGACGTATAAATGAGTTCCACTGTTTCACTCTTTATAAAGTATCCCCTTCCTTCCTTCCTTCCTAATACATGATTAAGAACACAGATTAATTTATAGAGAGAGTTGGTAGCCAGGAGTAAAATATTTATCTAACTTAAAAAAAATGTTGTATTGAAAACAGCTCTTTCTCCAATTGAGATTTTAGTACAGCAATGAATAAAAGAAATGTTTCAAACTTAGGGAATGAAAGTGTTCTTCAGTTAGTCATTTATACTATCTTAGGTAGGTAGGTGTCTTATTTTCAACCATTCAGTCCTTAACAACGTCACTCGACTTGTAAGTACTAACTTCTCTTCTTCCTTCTTTTCCACCTCCCACTAACTGCAGTATCTACCTGCAATTTACCGTCAGCAGTTAGAAATGAATTATTGAAAATACTTTTTTAAACGTATATAGCTGTTTTGGTAAAAACTTAAGCTATTGTTAATGTTAATACAAGACCATTTGGAGTTCATAGAAAAACGAATTTACAGTTTATGAAGCTGGCACACTCTCTACTGTAGATGTCACTTTTAGTAGAAATTTATCAGATTAAATATTCATGCAAGTGTAGTTTTGTTTCTGTATGAAAAAATCCACATAAATAAAACGCAATATCTATCTATCTATCTATCTATCTATCTATCTATCTATCTATCTATCTATCTATCTATCTATCTTGTGAAACTCTTTACAGTGTAGACATATACTACATTGACTTCATTTATCTCCCCACATTGGTAGGATATGACGCATCACATACTCCGATGCTCCCCCTTTAGTGCAAAAAAGTAACATTTGGAGGTGCTGTTGCATGGCTGGAACTCCTCGAATCAAACATCCCTTATTGCTAGGCCCTATTAACAGCCCCCCCCCCCGGTGCAGGGTTTCGCTCGCAAAGTAGGAACACTTTAAAGGAAGTATAACACTTTGATCACTTACAAAATACACAGATACTACACTGATCTTAGTGCCAAATCATATGTAAATAATCCATAATTTTTTATTGGTATGATGCTAATATTGTTACATTTATCTGTTTGATTGAGAAATGTTGTCCCTTAGGTATTTCTAAAGCTTATTCTGTTGTAAGGCGGCAACCATAGCGACACCTGTAAGAATATAACTCAGTAACAAGCAAAATAATTTAATATACTAGTTTTCTAACTAACAATGTCTTTGAGTATTTACATACTCAAAGACATTGGCTAATTAACGATGATAATAGCACTCAATGAGGATCACTCTCAGTGTAGTAATAGTGATAGCAATCGTAATAGCTAAATAATGTTGTGTAACCCGAAGACCTGTCAAATTATTTTTATTTATTGTATTGTGGAAGAATAACTTCAAATATAAATATGTTCCTTAATATATTCCTTTAAATATATTAAACAACATTTTATTTGTATTTGAAGTTAGTCTTCCCCAAGCAGGGCTGAGTATCTCTGATAGTGATTTTGAAAAAACAGTATTCTTTTCTGATATGATAGTAGTTAATGGTAAAGATAGCTAATAGTAATAATAATTTACTAATCTACTAATAGTAGAGATCCAGAATTATGCAGAAAATATAACCAATGCAGTCACAAAATTAAATATTGGTAATATTTTTTGCTAATATGAGTAAAATATTAATATTCATAATGATTGTAATATTTTCAGTTATTAATTTGTATGAAAAAACCAATGTGAAGTTTGTTATGTATAGTATATTTTTTTACATGTCATAGTATTATAAGAAGAAATATATTAAAGAATATATATTTCCCGTTGCCATATTTTAAGTTATTTTCCCAAGTAACACTAGCTAATATGTGTGTGCGTGTGCCGAAAATGTATGTAAACAGACATATGCACATAAATTCAAACAATAATAAATTAATTATAAACCTTATTTCCGACAATTAATACTTTAATACTACTTATGATACCACCAAACCAAATAAGAAAACGAAATAATAGCCGAGTGAAGACATAAAAATATTTATTTTATCATTTAAGCAGTTAAATCAATTATTTATGCAAAAAAACAAAATATAATTTTTCACACTTAAAAAAAGACTAAAACGCACAAAAATTAAAAACATGTCTAGAAAAAACCGGAAAGAAAGAAATGGCTACAATTGGAAGAAAACAGGAAAAAGAAAAAAAAGAGGGTAAAGGCTAAGGAGTGAATGTAAAGTGGAGAGAAAAAAAAAAACGAATAAAAGGAAAAATAATGACACTCTACACGTACGCACATCCACGCAGACGGGTGGACGCGCCCGCACACACACTACGAAAAAAACTTGCACCAATGCTAAGTGCATATAAAAAAAGAATAATCGAGAAGTATAAGCTGATACCACCCCACCATGAGTGGACGGACGTGTCCGTTTACGAAACTCTGAAGACAAACCTTTTACTTATATTAATTCTCTCTCTCACTTTATATATATATATATATATATATATATATATATATATATATATATATATATATATATGTGTGTGTGTGTGCGCGCGTATGTTTAAATTCTGATGTAGTTATGGAGAAAGAGTACCCAATAAAAGGAGCGTTTGTTGGTAGAAACAGTGGCTACCTACTAATCAACAGCGCATGGTGATTCTCAAAAAACTCTTGAGATCATTTGTTATCACTAAATAGGTCGGCTCTGAGGAATTTGATTATCCCATTTATTTTATATTTATATATTTCATTCATTCATTTAAAATTATTGCTTTGTGTATTTTCTTTGGTTCTAAATATTGGTTCTTGAAATAAAAAAACTTCGTTAGATTTAGGTTATGAGATGTTATTGATTATTTTAGTCATAATATGATTTATTCGTAGCGTAGTAGTGATTTATTTTCCTTTCTGCATTTGGAAATGAGCTCTGTCCGTTTGTTTAGAAGCTTATATATTTTTCTGAAAATATGTTACATGAATATTGTATATTTATACTCAGCTTCTAGAACATAGAGCACTTTTGCTCTATTTACATCAGCTCACAAATGTAACAGAGAGAGTTTGGGAAACACACACACACACACACACACACACACACACACACACACACACACACACAACGAATATTTTTTTTATTGAATTTGGAGTGAATCTGAGTAGCGAAATTAGATCAGAACAATTTTGTTTACTGATGGGAAATCTGATCTCGCCAATTTGGAATTGGGTCATTACAAAGACAATGGAAATGGTCGAAATAATTTTATCGGTTAAAATTTGAAATAGAGCTAACTAAGCTATGAGAAACTTTGAAATTTACATGATTTGGTGTTGAAAGGAGCACCCGTGATAATCGTGTACGTGCCAAGGGTCGATTATGATCAGCCAGATTTATCTATATAAACGCGTAGTTATGCTGAAAAAGTGGCGGACGGAAGAGGCAGACGGGAGAGGCCGCGATCGGTCGGCACGTCGTCGTCGCTGTGTGTGCCGTCACGTGCGTGAGCACCCGCAGCGACCGTTACGCGTCGCGGCGCTACAAGAGAGACGGAGAGGTTGGTTTTGGCTCGTCTGTCGTCGAGTGCAGTCGAGTTGGGTGGAGAGATGTCGGAGATTGAAAGTGAGCAGAGTTGAAGTGAAGGCCTGAAGAAGTAAGAAAGTGACGTCAGAGATTGGAACCAAACGCCCGCTAACATATTTTGTTGATCTAAGTACGGAGAAGCAAATTACTCCTCCAACATCTAAGACTGCTACTGTTATTACTACCACTAGAAACGGAAACGTCGCATAAGCTGCAATAATCAGAGTGGTTGGCTGGTCTGCTGTCGAGTGCATTCGAGCTGGGTGGAGAGATATCGGAGATTGAAAGTGACGTCAGAAATTGGAACGAACCGTCCGCTCACATGTGCTGTTGAGATAAGTCCCGCTGTTTCTGCTACCACGAATATTACTATTACTGTTACTACTGCTGAGGAAGAACGCCACTTTAAACTTTAAGCCGCGCACAGAAATCTCATTCCCCCATCGCAAGAGTCGTATATCATTCTGAGACGATTTAACAACAAGTTAATCATAACACACTCTCTTTCTGTCCAGAATCCAGTGTATGCATTTTTACATCAATTACTTTTCTTTTCTGTAACCCGTTTCTTTTCTATACTATTCTTTTCTGCTATATAAAAGACATTAACAATTCAATCATTGAATAGTTGTTTGTCTGGCTTTCTGCAAACATTATTATTTTTTTTGCTGCATTCTAAATTTTTTAGCACAGACTCTCCAGCCGTGTCTACATCTTCAGTCGACCGTGAATGGATGAACATCACTTCTGCTTTCTGGATCAAATCAAATACAATGTGGGCAGGAAGCAGGATTAAACCAGTGGACCGGTCGAATGATCAGGGGACCTACGGCCACTCCCTTAAGTTCGGTTAGGACCGAGCAGACACCTCAACCCAGAGAGTAAGACGTCGGAGGTTGAGGGGCTGGGGCGAAAGTGTTAAACAAGCATGGAAAAAAAATCAATATTTCATGTTATTTGATTGATTTTGATTGTTAATCCCACAACTACCATTGGGCCTTATTTTAGAAAACAATAAGTTACGTTTGTCTATATTTCTGAGATGAGGTATTATGTACAGTATTTACATTAGTCGGACTATTGTCCTCATCTTTGTCGCCATATTTGTCACAACGTTTCGGCCGTTGTACGCTCCGGCCTTCTTCAGGTGGTTGGAATTTCGAACTGCGAAATGTTGTGACAAATATGGTGACAAAGATGAGAACAATAGTCCGACTAATGTAAATACTGTACAATAAGTTACGTGTCCAGAAAATTATTATCTTCTTTAAAGGGTGCACAAACCGCTAAATTTGTGCACCCCTAATATTTAGTAAAATTTTCTTTATTCTTTTAAAAAATTGTTTTGGCTTTATATCTCACTGAGTATCTACCGTCATATTTTACGGTGCGTC